ATGCAGATTGCAATTCATTTTGTAGAAATGTGCTTGGATAATAATATCCTATATTATGCCAATGGTAGGTACCTAATAATTAATTATTTAATAAATATTATTTTACAGAAGAAAATTGAGGTTACCACAGATATAGTGGCGGTTACCTTAGATACTGCATGAAGCCAAGAAATTTCCGTTTCCATAGAATAATAAATAAAACTGATAAAAGATGAGTGGAGACGTTTTTCGAAAATTGTCTCTAGGGAAAAAGATCACAATATATAAATTTATGTYATTTAAACTAAGTTTGTAACAATTATAAATTATATAAACATTTGCTTATACATGAATAAAGCTATATATACACTGTATATATACTTATTTATATTAATACCTAAATATTATTATACGTATAATTATATAGTCAGCAACATCGAAGCTCTATATAGATTGAATTTTGATGTATGATTTGTTTCAATAGGTACTATTTTATAAACAAGAAGATGAGAATCAATAAAGAATACAACGAAAGTAGTGCTATAATTAATTTTTGATTTATGACTTAATGACTAATTAAAAAACAACAACTATACAATTTTTTAGAAACGTATATGGTTCAATGGTTTAAATTGTACAAGAAAAGCATTCAAAATTTTAAAACATTTTATTTGAATGGTACTTACCCATTCAGATCGTTTTCACCAAAAGTAGTCCAATTTATATTTAAACTTGCTAATGAATGTGGTATGGATAACACTGTTAAATACAAATGTGTCGAGTTATATGATAGGTAATAACCAAATATATGATTTTATTTGAAATCTTTAATTACACGCGCCGTTTGTTTTTCAATAATCAAACTCCCAGTGTTTTTTATACACCATTTTGGTTTACACAGATATCAATATGGTATTGCATATATAATTTCCTTTATCTACTTATGAAATAATTTACTTCATATGGCATAAGTTTTGACCAGTATAAAGTATAATAATTAAATATTAGATAAACAGTATTATTGTCCATTATAAGAGGTAAATAATATATATTTATACTAATTATTTGGACTTTTTAGATTTTTATCTGAATATTTTATTTTCAAGTATAAGAAAATCTATAGTAACCATTCGAATAAGTGGCTAAAATTTTTAAAGAAGTGTAAGAAACAATCCTATCTACGAGTTATGTCGTGCATGCAATTGGTGTCCAAGTATGCTCAACAATCATTGGTAATTTATGYTATATATTTATAGTTTTAATAAAATTTTTATTGAAAGATTATTAATTTAGTTAAATAATTTATTGAATAAATAAATATGTATGAATTTTCCAAAAATTTTAATACATATATAAGATTTTTAAAGCTTTATAAAAATGTTTATATTTGTGTGTAGAGTCTTAAATTAGAAGATATCAAAGTTATACTAGAGCGAACTGGGCATATGTACACGAAAAAAAATATTCGTTATTCAGAAGCTGAAGTCTTGCGTGTTGTTGATTATAAGGTTAAATTTTAAATTACATATTATATTGTGATGAAAAAAATCTACATTTATCAGTAATATTGAATTGGTTTAGCTGAATGAACCATCCATATTTATGTTGGTTGAATATTTCATTGAAGTGATCCCATTCATTGCTACGGATAGTCTGTATTCTACATGCTTATTGCTGACAGATTTTGTTTATATTTATCAACAAGAACTTTATGATCAACTTCATTATCAAAAGACAGGTTATAGAATCTATACTTACAGTGAAAAGTAAATACAAATGTTAAGCTTTACAACAATATTATAAAATATTAAAATATCAAATTTTATGTTGTATCACACAATATAAATGTGATATTTTTGCTATTGTTAGATTAGAACTACTAGACATCGAGTTTGACAAAATAACTACAGCAGCAGCAGTTGTTGTCACAGCTTTTTACATATTGAATTCAACTGATAAAACAAATGAAGAGTTATGTATGTATCTATCTACTTTATGTGAAAAATCAAATGACTATCTGTTAACAATTTCAACTGTTCTAATATCTATCATAAACTCAATTTGCATTGAATAATAATTTAACAAAAATAATTATGTGCAAATGTGTTTTTTCTTTTTTTTTTTTGTATTAACAAATAAATTTCAAAAAAAACTCTACTGTTATTTGTATAGTTTCATAAATTATATGAATATAATGAATGAATGAATGAATTTTTTATAAACTAATATTTTGAATTTTTACATTTTCTTCAATTATATAATACAAAAAAATAATAAATATAACATTACTTGTTACATAATATACACCTATAGATAAAAATATAAAATTATTATATTAAAAAATATTTTGAAGTTCGTGTTTATATGTTATAGTTTTATTATAGTAATAATATTCAGCTATAAATTATCATATTAATAATTATACTTTTTATACTTCAATAATTTAAAGATGATTTAGAATATTATGTAAGTTTGCTAGCTCAGAACATTTTTATACTTTCCAACAGAATTTGGCATAGACATTCAATTTGTATAGATTCTATGATATACTGGTATTGTGGGAGTGAATTCGCCAATATAATAGCGAAATCCTCGGCATTTCTCAGATATTCTCTAAMCTCAAAATTTCTATGGTCCGACGTCCCAAATCTATGGCTCAAACATTGGAAGTTACTTCTTGACTCAGCTACTTGGTACAGAAATATTTCCCCAACCATGCCACCATTGGCTTCGTTTCACAACCTCAATATCTCCAGAATAAGTATAGTATCCTTCTTCCATCTCCGCTCTGGCCACACACTACTTCCTTCTCCTTCAAACTTTTATTGAACAATTCCCCCTTCAGCACACTCTACAATGACCTAATAATTTGTGATATTAACCACTTAATCTTGCACTGCTCCAATATATTACCCTAACGTGATTATCAATTGCCCCATTTCATTTATCCAACATAAGGGATGTAACTACCAAAAAATCCTCTCGAGCTAATAAAAAAAAATATCATAATAAGTATATTTTTTTTTTAACCATCCAGCTTTTTAATTTATTTGTACTTTATTCTTATCATTATTTTATTTTTTCTATTATGAGTTATTTTCGTTAATACTAAGTTTTTGTCAAAAAAGAAAATGTTTTCATATGTAAAGTATACATAAATACTGTTATTAAAATTTTTTATTATAGTTCAATTGGGGCTCCAATATTATAAATTAATAAATTATAATAGATTGATGTTATGGGAAAAATTATCACAAACAAAAATATTTTCATCAAAATAATTAGTGTTATTGTAAGTTTCTTATAACACTATTGATTTAAATTTTTTATGAAAATATTAATATTTTTTTATTAATTCTGCGTTTAAGTTGAATGAGTATTGTACATGTTAATTAAAATTAGATCCCTATATAGAAGTATACCATTGTATATTACACAATAATCATGGTTACACTTTTTTTCTTGGTTTTATTATTGTTTATGTATTAATTTAATAAAATGTATGTAATAGGAAATTAGTGAACTCTAGGAAACAAAAATAAAAACAATAGTCTTTAAATTAATATGGGTTCTCATATAGTATTTCTTCATTAGCAACAGGTTTTCTAGAATAGCACAATCCCAGTTTATTCATTATTTTTTCTGTGGCAGCAAGAACCTATAAATATAAATAAGTATAGTTTAATAATCAATATATAATGCATTATACATATTATATTATACTAAATTTTAATTAGTGATAAGAATGAAACTAAAATGTTTGATATTGTATTAAATAATATAAGTTATTAATATTATTTTAACTTATAAATACTTTTACTACTTTTTATAGCACTCATAAAGTATTTAGGTAAGTATAATTTGTATTTATAACTAATATTGGCAATTTATGAATAACTTTATTTAATTTTAAAATATAGATTTCAACAAAATAAAATAAAAATAGATGAAGATTTCAAAAAAATACAAATATACCTAACAGCAATATGTAATATAAACTTTACACATGCTCTTTTAAGTTAATAACATTATTTTCTAGCTAACTCTGTAAAAAAAAAAATTATAAAAATATGCAATCGAATAAAATGTAGCCTTTAATTTTAAAGTATCCATAAAATATATCACAAATAATATAATTACTTCATCAAGTTGTTCCTTTGTCAAAGCAGCTGACATACAAAAACGAATTCTTCCTTCAAGTARTGGAGTAGCWGGAAAACCAACACCAACTGTAGCTATATTAAATTTATTGAACTCTCTAACTGTTGCCCTGAAAAAATCAGAATAATTGAACAATTATTTACGAAAATATTGATATATTTTTATCAAAAATGACAGTATTTTAATACTTACCCAACTTTAGATATCATATATACCAACATCGGAATAACAGGAGAATTGTCATTTCCATATACTACACAACCTAAGGCCTTAAGTTTCCTTCGGAAATATTTGACATTACTTGCTAATTGGATAATTCGTTTTCTACCTTCTTCCCCATGTTTTCTTCCCATTATCATTGACATAGATGTTATGATTACTTGAGCTACAGGTGGTGCCATAGATGTTGCATAACATGAAGCATGGCTATTTACTCTTAAATAGTTAATTAAGTCCTTTAACAGCCAACAAGACAGTAATCAAATGTTAATTTGAACATCAAACATTATTGTAAATTTTAATCAAATTTATATTTGATACATACTTTACTTCCAGCTATATACCCTCCAGCAGAACCAAATGATTTACTAAATGTGCCCATTAATATATCAACATCTTTTGGACAGCAGTTATAATAATCAAATATACCTCGGCCGTTTGGTCCTAAAGCTCCAATACTATGAGCCTCGTCGACATATAAATAAACCTAAAATTTTTTTTTCAAAAATAGTAAGTTCTTCTAGTTGCAAATAACATTTTACATAACTATAATACATTTAGTAATAATCAAGATAATTTATAAATACTTTGTATTTTTTTTTAATGGCAATTATATCTGGAAGGTTTGTTATTGATCCTTCCATGCTAAAAATGCCTTCAGTTACAATGAATATTTTTTCCCAAGGTTTTTGGGTTTTTGGTTGACCAGAAACAATATTTTGTCGTATTAATTGTTCTAAATGTACAATATCTAAAACAAATTAAAACAAAAATATTTATTATTACTTATAATATGGTTATTGGCTTCAAATAGCTTTCAAGGAGGTTTCAATACATATAATTCTTCAAATTAGAAATTTATAAAGACTCATGCTTTATAGTTTTTTATGACCTAGAATTATTCAGTCAGATTCAAATAGAAACCAAATTATAATTTGATACATTTTTATTTTATTTGTTAATTAAAATATTTAATAAAAATACCATTATGCTTATAAACTACAGATGTGGCTCCAGACAGTCGTATCCCCAGAATAACAGACGCATGATTATATTCATCACTTAATACTAAGCATTCAGAATTTATGATGCAAGGTAAATTCAGAGCATTAGTGGCAAATCCCATCCCAAATACTATAGCATCATCAACACCTAAGAATGCAGCTGTTAGTTGTTCCAGCTCTAAATGAAGAATGTTGGTTCCAAGTTCCTGACGTGAACTACTGACTGCCCAACCATATTTCTTTATTATTTCTTTGGTATCATCTGCACATGGACCTTGGCTTTGAGCAAAACCTAAGTAATTATACGAACCTAAATTAAGAAAAGTAGATTTTGTGTCCAACAGTCTGAAATATATTTAAATTTGTATTACATATTTAAACAATGGTGATAAGAATAACAAATAATAGTAAAATGTTCTTACTCAAATGACCAACAACTGTCGTTAGTTACCCTGTCAACAATATCAATCTTTGCACCTGGTACACCACAAACTACTCGATTAAAACAATCTTTAACTCGCCGAAATACATACCTCAAAAATATGCTATCAAATTTATTGTACAGTGGTGGATATCCCTAAATGTATTAATGTATAATAATTAATATAGAATAGAATATATTAATAAATTCATTTTAAACCTTTCTGTTTTTTTCAGTAGCTACTTTGGGAGTAAAAATGATATGATTGATCATTCCAATAAATATCAAAAAATAAAATCCCAAACACGCCATAACTGAGGTATATAATGGCATTTTTTCATATGACTCTTCATTATGACAAATATCATGAGTTATTTTCTGAAATAAGAAAATTATATTACAGGCATAGTAAAAACAATGGATTACCTATTCTAAAATATTCACTTATATGTTATAATAGATAAGTATTATGAATTTAATTTTTTTTAAACACTCAGTGTATTGAGAAATTTATTTTCATTATAAAAGTTAACAAAATAAAATAGTAAGACTATTTTTACAATTTTATTTGTCTTATAATTCCTAAGAACTCCTTTTCTCATTAATTTAAATGTTATTTTATAACTATTATTTTAAAACTATACACAAACATAACAAAAACTTGAATTACCTTTTCTATAGATCCTTTTAACTTTGGATGATCTCTGTATGGTTTACTTTGCACTGATGCCATTATGTTTTATCACCGAGTGCACAGTTCTTAATTATGAAGTTCTAATTAATTGGGCGAAGTTTGGCAAATTTTAATCTGATAATTCTTTGAATTTAACTAAAAAAAATATATAAAAAATATAATTTAATATTACACAGTTAGTGCAGTAAGTACACACTAGATACTAATAGAAAATAGACTAAATATAAGTTTGTATACTAGATTCTTTAATTCTTATAACAGTCTTAAATTATTTTATATCAAAATGATTATGTATACTTTTAGTTTGAATCTTGTATGTGCTTATTATATGTTTAATTATCATTTTAAATTTATCACAGTTAATCAAAGTGAAGTATGATTGTATCATAGAGACAATATAGACCTCAAAAGGTCTATGGATCGTATGAACAATAGTCAATAATTTCTTAGATAATATATATATATATATATATATGATCTAAGAATAATAATTCATCTAATATCTTGAATAACAGCCAATAGAAATAAAAAATAGGAACATGTCTAAGGATTATTTAGTCATGAGTAGGCGTTAATCGTACATGAAGCATGTATGAGACAATGAGACATATTTGTTAATTAAAAATTGAATTTATAAATTTTTAATGTTGTACTATGGTCTGTAAGACAGTTAGTCTGTTAGTCAGTAACCTGTGACCTGTGTAGCTGTGCTTAAAAATTTTTAAGGATTGTGTCGTAGTCTCATAGTGATAACATTATTATCAAATTTAAATAATAACGATTATTTCATAATATTTATTTTGTTTCATACAGGTTGGCCGTATTCGAAAAAGCGTGTAAAATATTTAATGAATAGTAATAAAGATCTTTATTATTTATGGACAATAAACTTGTACAAATGAAAATTGAGAAATACACCACCATTATTAAGTCACCGAGTAGATAGTCTAGTCGTAATTTCCATATTAAAATTGAACTTTGTGTGTAGTCGCTGAAAKAATGGTTGGCAGTAASTGACAGGTGTTGTAAATTTGTAATCCTGCATTGCGTTCTTCGACGAGCGCTTTGGACTATTGGACTGCTTATTGATTGTCCACTGCCTAGTTATCATATCAGCTGGTAATTGGTATGTCGTGTCAACGTATGGATTAGGGATAGTTTTTGATATTTTATATTCCAACAATTTCAATTTTACGCAATTTGTCTAGTCTTTAATTCTTATTTTTGAATACTGTGATCATCATTTCTCGTAGAAAACTTATACCAAAAATCAAGTTCTCAGTATTAATTTATAGTTCCTTTGTAGATTTAGTAATAATTTTAAAGACTGCACACTATCCTATTATTTAAAAACCGGCTTTAATTGTGCACTTTATACCTGACCATAATTATAAGATGGAAAATCAGAAAATATTGGATGCAGAAACCAATTTAACAGAAAACGATCAGAAAACTTTTTCTTCAGATACTGATGATAGAGATGGATCTGATGGATTAAAACACAAATATGAAAATGCTATTGATGATGACCTTATCGTTGTACCAGAGAAAACAGTCAATGCTGAAAAAACAGCTTCCCTTGAAAACACCTTTGAGGTAATTGATCAGGAATCCAAAGCAGTTCACAATGTTCAGGAAGAAGATGAAGATAATAACATATTTGACGAAGAAAAAGATAACTTATTTGAAATTGATCATCCATCGTCTCATACAAAAATTGAGGATCTTACAACTTTCCCAAAATTAGAATCTCCAAAAGCAGAAGAACCAGAATTTTCTGAAAATTTAGAACCTATGATAGCAGATAATACAAAAGCATCGATTATTCAAGAGATTGAACCTGTGAATACTGTGCAGTCCAATTTGAAAATTTCAGAGACTCCAGAAATTGTTCAAAAAGTGTCTACTAAGAAAGATACTGATGAAGGAGATGTATGTGACATAAAGATTGGACCTGATGAACTATTTTGTAGAATCGGATTAGGTGAGATTAAACATGATTACTGATATAATATAAGAACTAATATAGTTTAATTGGTTTTGGATTTATTTYATTATAATAAAATAATTTGTATTAGTATCATTAGTAGAGAGGTAGGTACTTTAACATCTTTCACCTAATGATAAAATACCTAATTTTATATTTTAATATTTAAAAAAAACTGAATTTTCAATTAGGTAGATGAGTTTAAAAATTGATTTAGGTTAAGTGAAGTTGTGCAAATGTTTATTGGTAGCTACATTTTGTATGCACAATAGTTTTATGTGAATATTATTTTTGATCTAATATAGTTAAGATTACTATACTCATTCAAAAAAATATTTTCTAAACAATTTACCTGACAATTAATACATTTTATAAATGATATTTTTATTGATCAGTTATAAGTTTATTAACGTTTATTAATGACAGCAAGACTATTAGTACTAGGAATATATACTTATAAAAAATAATTAAAAAACAAAATGTGTGTAGGGTTAGGTATTGTTTTTTAAACCATTTTTTTTTTAATTCTGCAATAGAGTAGGATTTATTTGTAGTAACTTAGGTATACACAGGCATGTATTTAAGAGGAGCAAAATAATGTTGAATGTACTCTATTGCGTGAGGCGGTAAATTTATATTGACGAATTAGGTATTATTATGTATTAGATGTAACAAAAAATAAATAAAAATTATTATTTTATAAATATTATATATTTTAATTGACCTATTAAAAGCCATTATTACAGCTGAATTAATTTTTTATAATGTTTTCATTAATTAGTCTGATCATAATTTTAATACCTAATCACAAAACAAAATGTCAACTAAGATGTTTTGCAATAGTGTTATTTACATTTAAATCAGAAATAACTAATAGTTCAAGAAAATTTTGAAGACATTTTTTACTTTATTTGAAAAACTTTAAACTTAGAAAAAGTTATAAACATATTTGTCTTAAAAATTACCTGTCATACTTTTCTTTTTATTATAGAKTTCAACTGGCACAAAATAAAACAGTTGTTGTAACTTACATTTAAAAAAAAAATTGTAGGGGGGGCAAAAGGGCTCAAAATATTCAAATACGGCCATAGCCCATAGGTATACATAGAAAAACCTTTTGTAAGTACAATAGTCTTACTCAATAGACTTTTGAGCATAACCATTAAAATAATATTGCTATCAACATTGAAAATATTATACATAGTGATGAGTGATGACTATTGTCTATTATGAATTAAGTTTCCATACTATCTAAACTATTATTACTTACATTTATATGTCTTAGGGAATTTAGTATTTTACATTATACATTCAATTTTATTTAACAAAAAATACTTATAACTAAAATTTCAATCATTAATAAATTATTATGTATCATTGATACAATGATAACTGTATGTTTGAAATTCTTGCTTATATTATTAAAAATTGTTGACTGGAAATATTAACTTCAATTTGTAGAATATTTCAATGCTGACCTAATAACCTGCAATCTTTTGATCTTTATTCTATTATAATGAGTTACTAAATCATAAATCATAATGTACCTAACATAACTCAGGCATTTATTATAATATTTGTATAGGTATTACTTACACTATTCTTATTGCAATTATCATCAAAGTAAAAGCACATTAAATATTAATGTTATATCATTTTATGATATTTTAATACACATTTAAATTTAATATTTTTATAATTTATTTTATTTTGRTTTTTCTATTATAAATATGGAAAATTTGTTCCCATAACTATTAGTGATGATTTAATCATTTGGCATTAAGAATTTAACTCTCAACCTACTCGTGGATTTATTTATTTTTCATATCTCTTAAATATGAACATGGAATTTTGATAAAAAACATCATCTCCTATATTATTTTATGTCAAGTAGTTTATCAATTTCAGAATAATATCTACTATCTACATCACATAATTATATTTGTCATTATTCTATATTTAAAATAAATATGACATTAATTTAAAAGTTTAGATTTTTATTTTTAAAATGTCATTAATATTATATAATTTTGGTTAGGCTAGATTATAATCTTTGGTATACATAAGGTGTAACAGGGCTATTTAACCAATTCCCATTACAAATATTACTATATTTGTCAAATAGTACTGTTATATCCTGTATACCAATTGGTGAAAATATCCAATACATTTTTAAATTAGACGAATTTATACTGATCAGGGATTACCACCAAATCATTGAATAGGTAATTTTATTAGTTAAGTACATACAATTTGTTAAAAAATTAATAATWATTATTATTTTTTAATACATTTTTACTCAAGTATAAATATATTATAGAATTACTTACTGTTTTTATAACTTATTTAAATAAATAATAAGATTTTCCACACAAAGTCACTTATACTGAACACATACAATATAAAATGAAGACTAGTCAATAACTAAAACACAAAAGACCGCTAGATACTAGTCGAAAATATATTAAGTATAGGTATTGTTTAATATAGAGTCTTAGAATGATGTTACCATTAATWAATGTGTTGAATATTCAAATGGTTGCATAATAGTATCATTATTAATATTTGACATCACGCATCTACCTATTGTTCTATGAATCAAGTAAGTACTTAATAGTCATTAATGTATTAATAATTCAGTAATAATTTATTAATTTATTACCATCATTTTTGTATGTTCTACATCAAGATAATTTTCTTTATAAAAATGTATATAAATAATATTATACTTTTCATTAATATTGTTTAATTATACAATACAACATGTTATGTACAATAACATATTATGTAACAATATTATGTACAGTCACTGTAGTGTACACAGTCACACAGGATTTTAGTTTGGTTGATGATTTACATTAGTAAATAATTTAAATAATAATAAACAATTTAAATAATTTGCTTAACAGTTTTTATATAATAAGTTATAGCATATTTTAATAATATTTGATAAATTTACAATTTAATTTATATCTATTAAAAATTACCTTCAATTGATCAACTCTATTGAAATGGTAGCAAATAAAATTTTTTTTATAAAATCATAAAATGTCATGGGGGTTAGAACCCTACCCCTAGGTAAGCCACTGTATAGTCATATTAAACAATGATTTTATATATTAAATCAATGTGTATGAAAAACATCTTTGACCCAGAACTGTCTGCAGCCTATAATATCATCACATATTTGATCTGTGATATTATTGTGATCAAAGAAGTTTAATTTATTTTTATTCATTAGCACTACAGAAGGATTTGTTTTTTTTTTTTTACTTTATTAATAAATACACAATCTATACGCAATCGGCACAATAAGAGTATGAGCTAATGACAATGACAATATAATGAAATTTTGAATGAAGAATCCACCCACCGATGACACTTACGTCTTTAATTATTTTGTTTTAACTTTAATATTATTGTTATTATTACTATTTTTTTTGTGTTAGGGATTAAGTTGGTCTCTGCATCATTTACGCTTAAGGCGACAAGGAGGGTTACCAGGAATGGTTAATGAAGCTAGATTTTTTATAAGTTTGTTTGGATGAGAGTTAAGGCGTACGTGGAATCGTTTATAATAATTTTTTGCCTCTTCCTGAATTATTTTCATCTACAGAAGATTAAATTCATTTTTGTTCAAAATTGCATTTGAAAGGTCATCTTGTGTCAAAAATATAATTATATAGTTTAAAAATTTCAAGTACCTGGTAATAATATTTTTATATAACTAACAACTAATCTCCTAATTCTTTGTTTAATATCTAATTTYGTTCAAATTTATACTTCAAATGTTTATTGAAAATAATAATCAATGGAAAATCAGTGTTTATATATTTTTTTAGATTTTTTTAATTATAGAATAAATCTTTTGATACATTTTGTCAAAATTTAAACTCAAMAAATCTTGCACAGTAGCATATTGGCTGCAGYCCCTCCCCGAAATTACTATTAAATATACAGTAGTCTCTAGATGCTAGATAAGTGATTCCCAACGTGAGCGCTACCGCCCCCTTGTGGGCATTTTTTATTTTGAAGGGGGCGTTTTTATGAGGGGGTGCTAAAGGGGGCGCTCATCTATTAACTCATATATTAGCGAATTCGAAATCAAATTATATAATTATTAATTATTAGTAGGTATTTAAATTTAAAATTAACTAAATTGTAGTGTTAAAATGTTAAATGATATTTTGTCTTAAATTAAATAGCTTATTAAAAAATAAAACGTTTATCATTTAAAAAAATTGATTGGGGAGGGGGCGGTGTGAGATTTTAAAAATCTAAAAGGGGCTTTGAGTAAAAAAGGTTGGGAAACACTGTACTAGATCATTTGTTAATTACTTTATGTTACAGCCCACCCCAAGAATTATTTTTATGTATGCCAGTACGCCACTGATTATGTACTTTTAATATTCTTAAACTGGTATTGTAATAATTTGTGAGGAGCCTGTGTTACATTTTCAAGCTTTTGGCCCAAAGAATAATTTTATTGACTTTTATAATTAAATTGAAATTTGAAAATTTCCTAAACAGCTCAAAACCATCTAATTATTTTATTTAAGTATATAGAAAATGATAAAATAAACATTGGGTGTAAATTTGAAGTAGTTACAGTTATTTGTTTTTGAATTACAACAGAATTAGAAAATTGTTGTAAATTGTTCATTATTTTATAGATAGACAAACTTATGAGGAATCTTATATCCAAATTTTAAATTTCGTATATATAAAAAAAAAATTTTATGAATAATTAGGTATGTATGGAACATGGGTGGAGAAACCTTTTTTGGGTCTAGTGCCAAATTTTTCCAATCAAGGTTTTGAAAATATTTTACGTACCTGTACTCTAAGTCGTAAATACTTAATAGTATATAATAAATGATATAATTTTTTTATAATTTTAATTTTTTGCGTGCCATTGATATTTGACCAACATTTGGCACGCCGCAGGGTTGCCAACCCTGGTGTAGATTATAGAACATACTTATAAAAGCGTTCATTAAAAATTTCATATATTTACGGAAATTGTTTTTAGAGTTACAGCAAAAATCATGTAGCAAAAATTCCCGATTAGGGAACTAATTAACTAGAGTGATGGTCAAACTTTTTTAATGGGAGGGCCACAAATTTTAAGAAATTCTAGTGTAGGGCCAGAATTATATAAAAATGTAATTTTTTATACTATACAGGYCATATACTATCCATGTCGATTTCAATAGACCCTCGGCGGGCTGTACTTTGCCGTCCACTGAACTTTATTCACATTCCTAACTTTGTTATCTTAAATTGAAAGTCAAAGCATTTTTTCTTTAACTTATCATGTACCGTTACACATACGAAAAAGACACATTGTAAAATCAATATATTTCATTATTATTATTACTCCTCTGAATCCAAATTTTATCCATAATTTTAAAATACTTTTGAATTACTTCAAAGTTAATATAGTTGTCTAAAAAAATCTATAAAATAAAATCCCCTGGACAATATTTACTCCTTTAAATTAGTTAATTGCTCCATTGATAAATTCACATTTGTTCAGAGTAAAATAGATTATAATTATACAATAATAATATTATATTATGCTATTTTAAACGTAAAATGTGCTGTGTCGCAGCTGTCGTGCCCAAMACGTCACGTGGTTATCAGTATAACATCCGTCCTTTTAATTTTCCGTTGACAATGTTTACATTTTTGTTTATTTTTATCCGTGAACTTCCAATGTGAGAGAATATTATCGATTTTGTAATAGCTAATAATTATTATCTTGCCCAACACGAATGCTATTGGATATTACCTGGGCGAGTGTGTGACTGCCGACCGGTTCCGTCTTACTAGTTACGAACTCTTGCAATGGATTATGGTCTATGGATCGTTATAACTTATTCGTTTTCGTTACTCATTGTTGCTTGCTTGTCGTTTGCTGATGTTAACTGTCTAAAAATTAGTTTGTAATAAACTTTGTTCTGACTATGAAAATTTGACTTAAATAATTATAAATCATAACTAGTGCTATTATTTGTATTAAGTTTATCGTTTCATAATTTATACTTTTGGATTTCTTACGTGCATTGAGTGTGTGACTTAATTTATAATTTTGGTAAATATTAAAAATATGACTCCCTCAGAACAAGAAGATAATATCGACGTATCAATTCCTGTAAAAAACTTTTTGAATACAATGATTTGGCCTAGTGAGTGATAATTTATAATACACTTAATTTATTTTTATTTAATATTTAAGTGGATTTTGAAAGAAATAAAACTAATTTTAGAATTTCTCATATACAATTTATATGAATGTTGATTTATATCTATAATCTATATGTTATGTAATTGCTAATTTGTAATACTACAATAGTAGGTCATAATATAAAATAATACGTACTCCAGTATAAAATATAGTATAGTATGGTGTGTGTGTATATAAACTTATAAGTAAGAAGTATCATAAATTGGATCAAATAACTTGTTTACTTGTAATTGTATACAGTATACTATAGCTATATTGCCTATTCTAGTTATGAAAATACCTTGAAGTCATTACTAAACACGTGTTAAGTACCAAAATTAATTCTCTATAATGTACTGTACAATTTCTAAATGTATGAAAAAAATATTGATTGAAGATATTATTAATTAAAAGTGTAAAATTACTTTTTTTCAGATAAATGGTTTAATCCTGAGAAATTACCACCAAAAGGTATGTTCTATTTTATTAATATAACTTAAGGTTTATTAGAAATTTTACTCAAGTTGTACATTTGTAATCAACATTATTATGTACATAGGCACATAGCTTACTATTATGTGCCGGTATAGCATTGGTTTTAAAAACAATGATTATAATATAGTTATTTTCAAAACTTAATTGTTGTTATAAACTTAGTAGAAATCGATTTTATCCATTATTGATAATGTCTATTTTTAGTTTAAATTAACCATGATGTCAAACGTAAAGCAAAATAGTAATGCTATGAGTACAATTTGGGATCTCTTGAATTAGGACTTCTAAATAAAAATATATGAGAAATTCCTCTTCTAAGTCTGATGAATCCCATTCTGGTCAGCCTCCCTTCTCATGAAATTGTATACTGTTGTATTTTTTGTATTATGTAAAATGTGCCGCACAATTTAAATTATTTAAAAATACGTTTTTAAATTTACTTATAATGAGATGACTAATTATAAATATTCCTTATTTAAAAAAATTAACTTAGTCGGTTTAAAATAAAACTATTCAAGCTCTAGTATGCCCGCATACTAAATTTTAATACAATGTGCAAAACTAAACCTATAATACTATGCGAAGTTAATTGGTGTCCATGAAAATATAACAATAAGAATTAAAGAATGAAATACATTTAATCAGAAACCATTAATAATCTAAGTATGATAAAATTTAGAATATAATAACGATTAAATTWAAAAAAAGTCGCTGAATATTATTGTTACTCGAATATTTTTTGTAAAATATTAATATGGTCAACATTGATCGTTTTTTTTTAATTTGCGTTTAATACGTTAAAAATTACGTTAATTGCGTTTATTCATTTTTAAACACAATTTATTTATTAATAATTTTTTGTTGTTTCATAAAATTCAAATTATTATTAATTTATTGTTACTGGACGTTTTAACGTTTAGTATTATAATGTTTAATACAAAAATCTGTCGAGTTCAAATATATAGTGTTTTGGTAAAATAAAAAAAACTCGAGATGGTGAATTCCACACCACCTAGTGTCCTTGGATTCTTATAAACCCAATCTAATTATTATGATATAATATTACATAATATTATAGTTTATAAATATTAAATTCTGGTAAATCAAGATATAGTAGTCATCTTTTCAGAAATAATCGTTATAATATAATATGGCTTTGTTAATTTTTAAATTTTTTCTTTCATCTAAAGTTTATAGTTATTTTAAAATCGTTTTCTGTATGTTATGTAATTGTAAACTCGATTTCAAAACAGTTTCCAAGAATTCGTTTAATTTTGGCTGTTTATCAATTTATACATTTCTTAGAGTACTATTTTATTATTTTTTCAAGCAATTCTAACGCACAAATCTAAATTTGTTATCGACCTATTAAAAATATCATTACGCACATAATATTACAGCATAAAAGTGTGGGGTAGGTAACCAAATTTTGCTAAGTAGTAAGTAGAATATTATACAGTTTTCTTTTTTATGTGAATGTGCTGGTCGTGGTACACAAAATGTCAGCTACCCGGGATTAAATGAGCTATGAGGGTTGTTTAAAAATGGTCGAATCTTTCTAAATATTGGATTATGAAATGCCGAATTTAAGAATTACCGATATTTCAGATCTTCGTTAACCAGCCACYAAAATAACCACTATAACTCGGCGAGAAGGTTAAGTTGGGCTTTCAATTGACGTGAAAACTCGTAGGTAACCTTGTCATCACTGGGAACCGATGCGCGGTTACCGTGTCGAGTGTACGGTCACGCCAAGTGCATAATGTAATATTATTTATACTACAATAAAATGTTCGCGACACACGCTCGTCTATCGGAATAATTATAAATTAATAATGAATCATGGCAGCAAGCAGCAGAAACGGAAGCAGCAGCGCAGACCATCATTGGGGTATTATAATAGGCCATACGAGTATACGACTATACCACTATACAACAGTATACACGAGCTGCAGCTGCTTCTATTGTCAGTGATGCCGCCGTCCCCCCCCCTCGCCATAATGCCACACTATCACGCTTGCTAGCGATATTTTGTCGACGGGTCGTCAGCTGGTTTTTCTTTTTTTTCTCCCTCTTCCCGCCGCCCCGCCATCGGCGTCGTATCCTGCGGTGGGCTCCCTTGTCATATTGATCGCGTTTGCCGCCAATAACGCCGTATTATTATTATTATTATTATTACTATCGTAATACACCGAGTGCARGCAAGTCTGCTTTTCTCCGTTGGTTTTTATTGCGCCGCAAACGTTAATAATATTATAGCGCAGTGAGTTTCTGTATTATTATTATTGTAGTCATCCTCGTGTTAGTTCGCCGTTCGTTTTCTACCGCCGTCGTCGTWGYCGTAACCGTCGCCGCCGTCATTCATTGTTTCGGCCAACTCATACCACAGTCGTCGCCGTCCGTCAATTACGTTCTGTGCCCAGTCTTCGTGATAAAAAAAAAACCGCTCGTTTTCTAGCTTAACGGTATAATTAGACCGCGAGCCGTAAAAATAGATTCGTCGTCGTCGTCGTCGTAGGTACGCAAAAACGATTTGTGTGCCCCCGGATGTGTCGCCAACTCTAGAGCGGCTTCACGGTGAAAACTGCAATTGTAACAGTTTTTTTTATTTTGCGAAACGTTAATATTCCTCGTTCGTATCGTCCGAACACGTTTCCATTGATATTAATCATTTTTTGAAGATAAATTCGCTATGGGTTCCAAGAGGGAGAAACGTAAGTACTCGTTATTGTAACGCACGCGCGCGTGGTTAAGTAATTGAAGACGCAATGGCGCGCTCCTCCAGTTAGCGAGCRAAAAAAACTGTTTAGTTATTTTTCCTTCTCTAGTCTCCGTAGGCGTTGGTTTTTGATTTTATTACGTATATTACACGGTCGAGAGGGAGTAGCTCGTAGTTATATTTTTAAAACTTTTCGTTTTCATATTAATCTATCAAATTTGTTTAAAAAAAGTTTTAATTGTCTTTTTATCACGTTATTTAAAAAAGTTGTCGAATATATCGTCAAATCTCATTGCAATCGATAAAAATCATTGGCTGTTGCTATTTTCCTAAATACTATTAACAGTATATTCTATAGTATATTACCATACTAATTTATTTTGTTCATCATAATATAACCTTCAAATTCGTAGCCTGTCCAAACGCAATCAATGGAAGTAATTTGATTTACATAGATTTGAATTTTGAATAGTGTTATATTTRCCTGAATTACGGTGTAAATTATATGAAATATGAACCTATTCCGGAACCTATTGATTACAATTTATTTTTTAACGTGTTCGCTCATCATTATTACATAACTAATCAAGCTTAGATTAAACCGTATATTGATATTTTTTTACACTATTACGTATAATGAATAATATAATCATTCGTCAATATTCATTATTGTTTACAATCATATACACGGCTTCAAAAAATACGAAATTAAAAACTAGCAGGAAACAGTTGTTACCCTAAACCCCGTTGTTTTTGTGTGAAATCATCACAAATCTTACACAACACAATAGATAATAGGTGCACAATATAAGTAAATTATAAAGATTATGATATTAGATTATTTGTATAAAACCTTATATAATTATAAGCTACAAGCTTTATCTAGTTCAAATGTCTACATAACCTTTAATATTACCACACGTTTAAAAATAATGATTACGTTTCAAGATGTTCAGGAGTCTGGACCAGTTGCATTAAATGTTTTATATAATATAATTATAATTATATAATATGTAATTGACTTAATAAGAACCAATTGATATTAATAAATTACAATGGACGTCTATAATAAATGATACGCAGTTGCTAGTTAGTGTTATAATGATTCATATTATACTATGATAATATTATATTTAATATAAGGTCCAAAAATCAACAGGTGTTATGTTGTAGACATTTTGATTTTAGCTAATAGTACTGTCTGTGTTWTCATATATTCCACACACCACCATGGTCGAATAACGGTGATGAATTAGTAAATCTAATGTGTTGCAGCGTAGTAAAGTGACAGAAACGACAAGTGGAAAAGTCCACTAATTTTTGCCCGTTTTTGTCAGTTTTTCATTTCAAGAATACAGGATTTAATTTTTATCTCAAATTGTTTTCAGACATTTGTGAACGATTATTATGTCTCTTATGTTCAACTGTTGACCATTTCAATATCTCGGATTGTATCCCACATTTCATGCTCACTGTGGTTGTACAACATCACGATATATTATTTTAACTGCAATATTTTTCCGAATTTTCTAATTGTGTCCACATGGACATGTCACATGTGATTACGAGTCACCTAAGGCTAACGGATTACTGATAATCATTAATTAAATTGTAGTGTATTCAATAAAATATTAATGGAAATTGTAATAGCTATTTGAATTCGTGATTCTATCTATCGTTTGGCCAATGTCAACGGTTTGTACCACAAAACATACCTAACATTAGTGTATATTTTATCACACAGAGTGCGCCAAAAATATAGAATTTTAATATTATCATTTAAAGTGATTGGTGCCTAACAGTTCAAAATAGGCAAATTTCAAATTACAATCATGCTGGTCTGTAAATGTATTCGTAGTAACTGATCATTATGTGGCTGTAGGGTTGCMAACCGGCCGGTATTTTCCCGGCCCCGTCGGTAATTCACATCCATAGACTTAAAAAGCCGGTTGCCAGTATTAACCAATAAAAAGCCGRTATTTTCAAAATAATAATTTTAAAATTATCTGAACGAGAGTTTCGATATATATATATATTAATATTATATCGTTTTTGTAAAATTGGTTATCATATTGCTGTCAAATCATACCTATATAATCTTAATGRCATTAGATGYCTATCGTCAACTTTGACACTTTTATAAGTAGTAGGTATATATAACGCCGTGAAAAATACCGCTAAATATACATTTAAAAGTTTATAATTTACTTTAYTTTATTTAATTATTTWATTATTTTATCATAATGTAATATTAATATTATTAAATTTATTATTTTAAAACTATGT